TCACGCTCTGTCCAATATTATCATGTATTCCGCCGCTTCCTTCTTCGGCGTCGTCCACCGCCGTTTCTTTCCACTCACGACTCGTCGTCCTCGTCCTTTCCTCCTGCTCCTTGTCGCAGTCCTCGTGTTGTTGCTCTTTTTCCCCACCATCTTCTGCCCCGTCATTCCTAGCCTTCTCCCCTCGCGCTCTCCCCTTCATGCTCCTTTTGCCCCTCTCCTCCCCTTTCTCCATTTCCCCTCCCCCTCCCCCGCCCTCCTCACTCGCTTCCCTCCAGTCGTCCGCCGTGCACCTCCTCCCCCTCTCTCCTCCACACCCCTCCACGCCTCTCCTCCTCATCCCTCCCCCCTCCTTGCCCCCCTTCCCACATCACCCTCCCCCGCCGCCCTCCTCCCTCTCTTCCCTCTTCTTGGTCCTCCTCCATCCACCTCTTCCCGCTCCCTCCCCCGCTCCTATCCCCCCCCTCCTCCTCCCTTCTTCCCATCCTTCCTTCCTCCCCGTCCTCCTCTCTTCCCCCCTCCTCCTTCCTCCACCCCCTTCTCGCCCGCGATCCCCTCCCCCATCTCCCCCCCCCCCACCCCACCCCCTCGGCGCCCGAGGTGCCAGAGCCGGAGCCGCCGGCGCAGGCCCCCCCCCCTTCCGCGCGCGCGAGCGAGGACGCGGTTTCGAGCGCGATCGAACGAGGGGCCAGAAGCAGGGGCGACACGAAGGGACGATGACCTCCTCCTCCTCCTCCTCCTCCTCCTCCTCCTCCTCCTCCTCCTCCTCCTCCTCCACCTCCTCCTCCTCCTCCTCCTCCCTCCTCCTCCTCCTCCTCCTCCTCCTCCTCCTCCTCCTCCTCCTCCTCCGCCTCCTCCTCCTCCTCCCTCTCCTCCTCCTCCTCCTCCTCCTCCTCCCCTCCTCCTCCTCCTCCTCCTCCTCCTCCTTCCTCCTCCTCCTCCTTCTCCTCCTTCCTTCTCCTTATCCTTCGCCTTCTCCGTTTCCTTCTTCCTCCTCCTTTTTCCGTCCTCCTCCCTCCTCATCTTCCTCTCTCCTTCCTCCTCCCTCCTCCTTTTCCTTCTTTCTCCTTCCTCCTCCTCCTCCTCCTCCTCCTCCTCCTCCTCCTCCTCCTCCTCATCCGTTGGTCTCGGATCGGTGGTTCAGAGATGGGGCCCAGAGGGGCGGGTTCCTCAGGGCGGGAGGGGGCCCAAGGGTGGACTCTGCACCGCTTGAGGCACCCCGTTGGAAGGACCCCATGCCTGCGGGCCCCGCCTCCGAGCCACCCATCCGAGGGGCGGCACGGAGGGCCTCGGCCGCACCGCTCGCGGCACAGCGCGCGCTCGCTGCCGGCGGGCGGGGCACTCCGCTGCGCTCGGCGCCGCGCGCCGCCCTGCGCGCCCGCGGCCGGCGGCGGCGTGCCGAGCTCGCCCAGTGCCAGGGATCAGAGGAGGGCGCGCCGAGGCAGCCGAGGGGGGGGGAGGGATCTCGCAGGCCCTGGCGTTGGCACCAACAGCAAGATCGGCGGTGTGCCTCCGCCGAGGGAAGAAGGTCCCGATCTCGGGGACGGTGGTGCTATTCTGGCTTCCAAGGTGACCGAGATACTACCACCAGCACCGAAATCCAGGAACAGATTACCCCTTTGGAGGCAAACCCCCTATGTTGGTGTTGGTGCCCATTTCCAGGCCTCCAGTGAGAGGGCGCGTGTGGCTGGAGGTTGGGACGGTGTGCCTCCCGCGGAGGCCACGACGCTTCCCCCCGCCTCCCCCCTCGCGCATTCCGTTCCGTTCCGCACCGAGGGGAGGGGAGGGAGGGCGCGTGCGTTCCGTTCCGTTCCGCACCGAGGGGAGGGGAGGGAGGGCGCGTGCGTTCCGTTCCGTTCCGCACCGAGGGGAGGGGAGGGAGGGCGCGTGCGGCTGGAGGTTGGGACGGTGCGCCTACTGCGGAGGCCACGACAGCTCCCCCCCCCCTCCTCGCGCGTTCCGCTCCGTCCCGCACCTCCACCACTCCGAGGAGGTGAAAAAACACACAGACACAATTCATCGTCGATTCCAGGAAGATATGGGAAAATATGGGAAGCGGGGGGGAAGACAAAGAACGACCCAGAAAATAGAGGAAAAGATATGGAATTCTGTTATTTGTGTGTTTGTGTGTATTTATTTGTGTGTCCCAGGGCCCCTTCATGGTTGGCCTTCGGGGGGGGGGGGGCGGGGCCCTCGCCGCCACGGCCGGGCGCAGCTCGGAGCGCCTGGCCAGGCGGGGTCTATGGGGGCCGGTCTGGGAGCTGCCGTGGCCTCTCACCGCACGCCCTGCTCCGTGCCATGCAGGAGGGCCGAGGCCGCAGGCCTCCGATCGAAGGGCAGACATCGCCCGGTGGACATACACCTTAGGCGATGCTCAAGAAAACCTAAGTTTTCGGCCAGAGTCTCGATTAATTCTTAACGTTTCAGTGTAAACCCTAAGATTTGAACAGGAATCTTGGGTTTTTGTTGAAGTTCTGAGACTATGAATTTCTTAACCCATGATTTCTTAAGCATTTCGCAGGGTGTACCGGCTTCGGAACAAATCAGCGAACACTCATGCCAAATTCATCTGTCAACGCCTCCCCCCCCCCCCAATGTTCAAAGTTGGCGGTGGGTCTGATGAGATGCACTTCGACCGCAGTGTCTTCCGCGCGCGCCAACATTGAGTTGGGGGGAAGGGGGAGTGTTCAGTAATTGTTTCCCTCTGCCGTACCTCGGGGGTGGACAGACCTCCTAACAGTGACACGTCGATTAGTGAATTGTCCGTCTTCGGTTCTCGAGAGGGCGCCGCGGCCGTTATTTTCCAGGCTTGCGCCCGCCAGGTTTGGGCCCGAGGTCGTTTTCACTAGGCCACGTTTTACTAAAGGGAGGTCTGTCCATCCCCGAATACCCCTCGGTCGCTGAGCGTACGTACGTTTTCGATGCCGATGCCCAGACCCCACGACCTAAACATACCCATCGGTCGCTGAGAGCACGTACGTTTTACGTAGGCGCCGATTCCCAGACCCCACGACCTAAACATACCCCTCGGTCGCTGAGAGCACGTACGTTTTACGTGGACGCC